GGGAGGAGTGATTACGAAAAATTCCTATTAGATAGCATATTTCCCACAAATATGACAGAATTTCCCTCAAAATTGACAGCGTTTGTCCCATTTATTTTTATAATAAGCCAATATTGCCCGACTGTGAAGCGAATATTGCCCGACTGGTTTTGTTTGCCCAACAAACTCGGGGGCTGCCGCCCCCTCCGCTCCCCCGTCCGGTACGCCCATGCAGGTATCTAATGTTAAATTAATTAAACTGTCTCTGCTCGGACTTAATGTTAATTGAAACTGGTCCCTACTCGGCCATTACCACCTAAGCCCTCGACAGCCACGTATCTAATGTTAAATATATTAATTAAACTTGTCCCTGCTCGGACCTAATTGTAAACGTGTCCCGCCAAGTATCTAATATTAATGTAAACTCGTCCCAACTCAAACGTTGCCACCTAAGCCCTTCATGGCTAAAGATCTAATGTGAAAGCTTGTCCCAATAGACGATTATATTCATACAACCCCTCGTGGCACATAAGCACAAAACTCGAGCCTACTCGGACGAAACCACCCAAGCTCTACAAGACTAATTTATCCCGTGCTAAGCTTATCCCACCTCATCATCATCATCAATCAATTTTATTGTACCTATACGTGTACATACCGGTCACATTTGACCTGAGAACTCAATAAGCCTAGTTGAGAAACGATTGGCCTTCAGTTGCCTCTGCAAGAAGTTATATACAACCCCGGTTTGCGAAAATTAGGGCGAATAGCCATGCAGACAATTAATTCCACGTAAAGTGAAGCGATTCACCGCCTCATTGCGTCGAGCGACTTGAATGGCAAGCTTGTCCCCGATGGTTTTCGTTAAAACCCGGTGGACTCGCGGCCAAAGGGGTGGCCAAACTGAAAACGCCAGGCGAGTGCTTCATGCACGTAGAGCAACGTTAAGCTCGACGAATTCCAAACTGTAGGTGGAACAACATCAAGCCAAGACATAGTACGAAGAAATAACGCTAATAACTAAGCCACATACACGACTTAACACGCTACAGTGGCAGCATAATTACGTCTAGTTGATCGTCACTAATCGGCGGTGTGTTTACTTCAGCCGCCAAAACTGGCTCAGTCTTATTTGTACTGGCAAATGGACCAGGTTGCTCGTCGACAATTGTCGCGAGAGTTGCAAGAACCGCTCCTACTTCTTCTTGGAAAACGGCGAAACGCCAGCACGCCGGGATATTGTGCTGTACTTCTTTGAGAGAATGTTCTTTCTTCCACGTTCACGGTAACTGATGTCTAATTATTCATCAGTGCCTTTATATAATGCCAATGACGTCACGCAGGTTGGATCATGAATATTAATTGGTTGGAATAGTGGGCGTGCAAGCAAGACCCGGTATTTTGTAAAACGCCCCTTTTTATGACACGCTCCATTCGCGCGTCGATTGTCAAAAAAAGAACCAATGACAGCAACCCAAATATTAACAAACAAACTCGCATTAAAATGTTGCGGGGTTTTCTCTGCTTATTCAGAATTGAAACAATGTGTAAATGGCTGCGTTTTAACTCAAAAAAAGCAAGCAACGCAGTCAGTAATTGCCAAATTTGCAAGTGCTCATTTTCAACTAAAATCGGAACAGGCAAATTAGGACGAATTTCAACAGAAAACCAGTCTCAAACTTCAAATCGTGAGGGAAGTCGTGCGACCACATTAGCATTAAATTTAATGTCTGCTTCGCTGTCGCCATTGTTATAAATAAATTGTCTCACCTATCAGATCGTGTGTGCAATTCTTGTTGGCGGCGGAAAATACGAAATTTATTTCAGTTATGTGATTTATGTCATTTGGTAAAGAACTCGACAAAAGAAGAGAGCGTTCAGAGTCCAGATCGTTTCGTTTCAAACGGCAATTACCGTCTTCTGTTTCGCTCTCTCAGCGAAGCCCTGGAAATCGCAAAGTGTTTCGAATAGGCTTACATGCAACTGCCTCTAAATCTTCACCGCAAAAAGCGCTGTTTTCTTCAGTGCAAGAACATGTACAGTCCGAAGCAATAGCATTTTTAACTTTGGTAAAAGCTTTCTCATGCATAGTTGACCAAGACCATTTGCACGATTTGGTTGTTAATTCACGTAGAGGGGCTGTTAGAGTGGAAAAGTCCTTAATAAATCGTGAACAGTAATTGGCCAGACCTAAGAAACTGCGTAGTTGACTCGCATCTGCTGGTGTTTTGAAACTTTTAATTGCCTCGACTTTCTTTGGATCTGCTGACAGCCCGTCCTTTGACAGAATGTAGCCATAGAACCAAAGTGACGGTTGAGTAAACTTGCATTTCTCCAGATTTAATGTAAGTTTCTTGATAACTAATCGCTGTAAGAGTGCTTCTAAATTCTTGTCATGCTGGACTTGGGTTTTACCCCATACAATAATATCGTCCGCGATATTTCGTACCTCGTTTAAACCTTGGAGCGCTTGCTGTATTGCATTTTGGAATACTTCTGAAGCACATGACAGACCAAATGACAGGCGTTTATATCGAAACAACCCCCTGTGTGTGCAAAAAGTGGTAATGTTACGCGAGTTCTCTTCTAAGACTATCTAATGGTATCCTGCTTGGAGGTCTAGCTTAGAAAACACGACAGCACCAGACATTTCTTCCATTAACTCATCAACTGTTGGGATTGGATTTCTCTCTCTTAACAATGCATGCCTGATTTGGTCTACGGTAATCTCCGCATAACCTGATTTCATCTGAATTGTGTGGTTTTGGTACATACAGTATTTAGCATGTCTTACCTTGTCTTTAGCTTCGTCATTTCCCTCGTCTTTCACACGATTAACATTGTTGCGAGCGTTATTGAAATTAATGAAATTAATTTGAAATTAATGAAACTCAAGTAAAGGTTACTATAGTTTATCCCAGTGGTAATGTTGATATTCCAACACTTCACGACAAGCAATCCCTGTTGGCATAACGGCAAAAACATCTCTTCAAGTAAACGATAAACAGTCTGTTCTTGTTCCAATTTTAATCGAATAAGTGATCAGATCCAATTTTTATAAGCTTATCGAGAGCCTTTGTGATGAATCACTGATCTAATTATAGAATCCAACAGCAAACAGCCAATCAGAATGCTGCATTCGTGAGCGAACGCGGAAAGTACAAAATACCGGGTCTTGCTTGCAGGCCCACTATTCTTCCCTCGGTGGGCCTGCACGCGGGCTATAGCCCCGACAACTACAAAAGTTGATTTCCACGGGGGGGGGTCATATAAAAAATATTACAAAGAATATAAAAAGGAATGAAACTAAGTCTACTACTTATATGTACATTGTCAAAAGCTACTGTAATTCACGATGGTGTGTCCCAGATAAAAATATGATTAACTGAATCCAGACTCGGTTATTAACATCAAAAATTTTGTTTTATACAACTTTTAAATATATAAATTGATTGAGCTTGCTTAGCTTCAAGCGGAAGGTTATTCTAAAGATAAGCACCGCTATATTTAAAGCTTCTTTTGAGAAATTCTCTGTTTGGCTTTGGAAGGGTCAGATCAGTTTGAGAATTTCTAAGATTATAGTTGTTTAGTAAAATATTTCTACTTATGAATGAATCTTTCAGAGTTGGTGCAGCACTATTACTCAAGACTTTATATAAGAATGTTGCTTCAAGAGTTCGAAGAACGTCAGCAGATCTGATCTCATAATTGGCGCCAGCTATTATTCTGGCGGCCCGATTTTGGAACTTTTGTAAATTATCTCTTAGTGTTTTGTTACAAACCCCCCAAAGGGGAGAGCAGTAATCGAAGTAAGGCTGTATCAGAGCATTATAAATTGATATCAATGTATTTGCAGGAACATAGGGCTTGGTGCGCTTTAAAATTCCTATGCCCGCACAGACTTTTTTGCAAACCATTTCAATATGTTTGTCCCAATTCAATGTTTCATCAAGTTTGACTCCCAAACACGGGATTGAGTGCACTCTGGCAATCAGTTGATCATTAATCATTACGGGGAACTCATTGTCCGATTTTAGCAAGATTATGATTTGATCCGACATACATTAATTTTTTTTTTGTTGAATGATGCTGCAGTTTGTTTTAACCAGCCATTGACTAACATTGTTTAAATCATGATTTAAATTAGCATTAAGTTCTACACAGTCTTTCGCAGATGAAAATATCTGTGAATCGTCAGCATATACAGGGCCGTAGCGAGGGGGGTATTGGGGGGGTGGTTAACCCACCCAACTTTTTTAGAAATAACATATTCGGAAAATCGGGTTGGCCATTCGGAAAATTGTGGCAATAATAGTATAACAAAAGTTTAGTTGGTTGAACAGAGAAAATATCATATAATTATATTGTCAGTATAAACTGATTTACGAAATGATGGCATTTACATGGATAACATTTAACAAATCGTAAATCAGTAAATTTTTCGGTTTACTACTTCTCAGGACCGTAGCAACCAGGGGGGAGGGGGGGGGGGACTGCAGCCCTCCCAATAATGGGGGGGTCTGCAACCCTCTCCAATAATGCTAATAACCATTCTTTTTTCACAATCATGCAGACCTTTATCATTTAAATAATATACCTTCGAAATACTGACAATTAATTAATTTTAAGCAGCTACATTATCCATGATAAACTGCGAAGAATCATATTACCCATACTTTCATGCAACTTCTCCAATATATAGTTAATTAATTAAATACGCCTTCACCCATTTAGTCCTACTAAACTCTAAGCAAATTTGTAAATTTCGACGTACTAAAACGCTGTTTTCTGACCATCAGAATTCTGTCAAAACTTTCCCCAAAGTCCATGAAATGGCATTTCAGAGACTCTAAATTAAAAAATTTCCACGGGCCTTCGGCCCTCGTTTTCAGCCCCCAATCAAAAAGAGCTTCCTACGGCACTGCGTGCTTCTGTAATATGTCTGTGTGTAAAATATGTGTATATTTGTGTGCAAATTGCGTCTTCTTTTTTCCGGATAGCAAACACCTTCGTGGCTTCGTATGCCATAAAATATTCGGAAATCTTTTTTGTCATTCGGAAATTTTTGGCCTACACCCCCCCCCCCCCCC